ACTTGCAATTTTCTTTTTTTTTTTGCCAGAAGTCTTCTGTCATACTCTCGGTACAATTTTTTTTTTTTTTTTTTTTTTGCGTAGTGGATTAACTAAATATTAATTTCTCCATGAGAACATGCTGTCTCTTATGTAGATATTCTGGTATATTCCATCTGCAGAATAATTTATGCAACATGTCATGACTAATTCACCCTCGATAATCCTGGGCTTGAGCATCTGCCCCTTTTATCCTTGATGCCCCAAGTGCTCTTTTTTGAGTTTATTTATTTTATTTTATTTTTCTTACATTTAAAAAAAAATTATCAGTACGTCAGGAGGTCTGCTTGTGCTCCTCAACAATAGTATTTAGCTAAATATAACAATTTAGCTAAATAAATTAGTCTGGTTCCCCTCGGTCTAATAAGGACTCGGAACTGATTTGACAGGAAATTTTTAAAATATTACTGGGTAGTTATATGTTTATTGTTGACAATAGTGAAACACAACTTGTCTTAAAAATGACCACAAAAAAAAAATGAAATGAAAATTCTTGTACATTTTTTGGACTTCTGTTAAGTCCAAATTATGTAATCCAACATGTAATTAAAATTATAAACACAGTTTGATTTGTATTCCACAAATAAACATCATACTCTATGTTTTGTGTATGATAGTTGCATCAAAGTAACATGAAATGTTCACACGCATATGAGTGCAGTCTGGGGATACTGGTGCAAACACTAACAAGGAAATAATATATTCGACTAATTGAAAGACGAAAAGGAGTTGGATGGAGTATTCAGATGAACTTTAGTGAATAAAAAGGATGAACAAATCATACATAATATGACAGAGTGTATTGGAACTCAGCTAACATAGTAGCTCTTTCTGGGAAAAACCCTCCAAATTTTAGTTTTTGTCTAACTTCTAGTTCTAAAGCATCATGGTACACACAGTCCATTCCACTAAAGGCCCACAAATAGTCCGTTTTGAACCAGATACTAACTATCAAGTGGTAACTAAATCTATGAAATAACAATTGCAACTCAAGTAGTTAGTTATGTTAAATTATAATATCCCAAATAATAAGTTCTAAGCAAATCCCGGTTAAACCCAAAACAAATTCTCAACATACCGTTCAAGTCCTGGTTCTGTTTCGACCGTGTGTACCACTGACGGGCAGCCTGGGGTGGCATCCCCTTACTGGAGCCCTACAGCATGGCGCTGATCGGCCTGGAGAAGCTCAGATGTGGCCTGTTCACCAGCAGCGACCACTGGGGGATCTACTGCACCACCACGTGAGGCACAAATGAAACATTTTTATTTGTTCGTATTCATTTTTTAAAAAAAGATCATTTTTAAAGAAGCTCAGTTTTCTGTGAGTTCAAGAATGCAAATGTTCAACAGGACATGGTTTGGTAACTGGAGTCTACTTTTTCTGCCTATCAGCAGGAGGAGTATTCTGTTCATCCAGATTTTTGTAACTTAAACTGAGTGGAAGGAAAAATTGTGGTAAAAACGGGTGCAGAAGCAATAAGTCATGACACGACCAGAACATAAAATTCCTATATTAACGAGACACTTCTATTTCTTATAAACAGCTGAAATTTTCTAAGTGACAGAGTTTCAGTTTTTCAAACACTGCAACCCAAAATTATCAGAATTGACCAAAATAAATGATTGAAATGGATCTATATTATCTACACGTTTTGCTTTTTTAACCAGATCACTAAAATATATGGTCTATTAAATGATGTTGTGATTTACTGACCTGTACCAGTGGAACAAATTGGATAGAAATTTAGAACTTTCAAAACGTGCGCTGCTCCTTTAAGAAATCAAAACCAGCGCTTCGTATCCTAGGAGAAGTTTTGTGTACTTCCGGGTTGTCGCTGCTGAGATCACCAACACTCCCCGACCACCGAACAAAGCGGATTAAAGTTCTGTAGAGATGGCAGATGAGGCAGAAGACGAAATACCCGGTAAATGCATATAAGCAGTGATATATTACGGAGGGAGAAGGGCGAGTTTCTGGAATATTAGCCTAGCATGTTGTTAGCTAGGCTAATTAGCTGTGTTAAAACCCCACACCGGCTTCTGTAATAGCTCCTAGGCTAAAGAAAACAGACATTAAAGTTCGTAATTTCTTCGTCAATAACTTTTCTGCTTCGGGTTTTGTTCTTATCGGGTTAGTTAAATTTACAGCTCAGAACATTTTCTTCTCTAAACCCTTTTGCTCTAATTTAAAACGGCTTTAAAAGTCTTAAAATAAGAAAACTTGCGGTTCTTGATGACGGTCCTGAGCTAGGAGATCAATTTAAATACAAAATACTTTATTGATTCTAAAAGGAAAATGAAATGTTGTTGGAACTCTTAAGAATTTTTGAATTAATGTAAAAGTTATTAGTCAAACTCCACCAGTTTGAACCAATTTAAATGCTGAAAACAAGAGCTGGAAAGTTTTCCTAATGCAAACACTGGGGAGCATCCGTATTTTACTCAAATGTCACCCATCCATCCGTGAAGTGTAAAGAGCAGATGAATGTCCCTCCTGGTTGTTTTTCTTGTTTCATTCTTCTTGATCTGATCTGGTTTTCTGTTGTTGTTTTTTGTTGTTTTGTTTTGTTTTGTTTTGTTTTTCCTCCGTGCCTCTGTGTTTTCTGCAGAGTCTGGAGCAGTTTTCACGTTTGGAAAAAGTAAGTTTGCTGACGACATGCCCAGTGTGTTCTGGCTAAAGAACGACGTTCCTGAGAGGATCGCCTGTGGAGATGAGCATAGTGCCTTGGTCACAGGTAGACGCTTTTGTTTTTGCTTCTTGTAGAATTGCTGCTGGTTGATCCTGAATTGCTGCTGCTGCTTCCTCCTCAGGAAACGGGAAGCTCTTCATGTTCGGCAGTAACAACTGGGGCCAGCTGGGCCTGGGCTCCAAGCAGACAGTACAGAAGCCCACCTGTGTCAAAGGTAGGTGGGGTCTCCAGGCGAAGGCCTCTGACAGGAAGTGAGAAAGGAAATGACCTGCTCTCTCCTCATTTTTCCAGCTCTGAAGGGTGAGAAGGTTCGGCTAGTGGCGTGCGGACGGAACCACACTTTGATCAGCACTGGTTGGTTCCTGACCCCAAACCACAGCCCTGATCTGGGGTCAGAGTTCAGCCATTTCAGTTTGGGTGTGTGTCTGCAGAGCGGGGACACGTGTTTGCGTGCGGCGGGAACGGTGAAGGCCAGCTGGGACTCGGTGACTGCGAGGAGCGGACCGCCTTCCAGAGGATCGGCTTCTTCCAGGCACATGGACCAATCAAGATGCTGGCAGCCGGGTCCAACACCTCCGCCGCCCTGACAGGTGAGAAAACATGACAGGTGATGTGTGGGTTTCCTTCATCTTCCATAGTCAGCATTTTACTAATTCTTTAAAGTTTGTTGTAAATGTATTCAGCTCACATATTTTCTAATATGTTTTAATTAGAAAACAAATACAATATTTAAAAAATTATGTTTTTAAATTAAATTGAAAAAAATGTTTTAACTGTAAGTTGGATTTCTTGTTTTTAATCAAGAGATATTCCATATTTAAAAGGTTTAAATTATTTTTAAAACTTAAGCCTGTTCTTTTAAAAAGTTTGATAATACAATAATATAACATTTTAAATGGCCCATATCTAAATTTTAACACTTCTTACTTTATAAAAAGACTTCAAATTTAGACATGATAAAATTTAGAAACGGTACATTTCAAAATTTAAAAAATATACTTTGGACAATTTTTTAAAAATAATTATTTTAATAATTGTGTTTCATATATTGTATGGTATATTTATTTATTTATTTTACTATTGAAACATTATTACCAAAATTAACATTTTCAGTTAAAATTTTGAGTTTCTTTTCAACGTTCGTCTTGTTAATATTTACTTTTTTGTTACACTTACAGTAAATATTTTATAATTAAAGATGTTTATTAATTCCTTATTTTGAACGATTTCTCTGTCAATTAAGCTAGCCAGTGTTTTCTGCGTGAAGATGGCTGTTCATTGGCTGTCCTGTAGCCACGTCGCTATGGTGACGACGTGACCCTGATGTTGTTTGCAGAGGGCGGGAAGCTGTTCATGTGGGGCGAGAACTCCGAGGGTCAGATTGGGCTGGGGAAGCGGAGCCAGGTGACCCGGCCACTGGAGGTCAGCGTGGGCCGGCCGGTCAGCTGGGTGTCTTGCGGATACTACCACTCCGCTCTGGTGACAGGTGAGACTCACCTGGTGACTGGTCTCACCTGGACCAGGAGACCGGCTAATGTGCGTGTATTCAGCAGCTGACGGAGCGCTGTTCACCTTCGGGGAGCGGGACAGCGGGAAGCTGGGGCTGCGGCCGGAGCGGCTGGCTGGACACCGGGTCCCGCAGCGGGTGGAGAGCATCACGGAGCCAGTGCTGCAGGTGGCCTGTGGCGGCAGCCACACGGTGGCGCTAACAGGTTAGCCATCACACACCGACTGGCGAAGAATAAGAGCTTTAGCGACGAACCTGCACGAAAACGCAAAGAAAATGAACAAAAACTAGGAATAAGTATTTAATTTAATTGTATTGCATTTCTGTTAATTAATGGTTAATAATTTTATAATCTTTTTTAGGACAGCTATCTTTCATTTAGTTNTTATTAGTAACCTTTAAATTCTATTTATTTAATATAAAATTTATGCTGCGACAGACTGGCGACCTGTCCAGGGTGTACCCCGCCTCTCGCCCAAAACGTTCGCTGGAGATGGGCACCAGCACCAGCTGGTACCCATGAGATGGGCACCAGCACCAGCACCTCCTGACCCCATTAGGGGTCAGGAGGTGTAAAAAAAACGTATGGAATAAAATTTATGCAAAAAAATATTTTTTAGCATACAAATATTTGTTAAAATAAATTTGCCCTCCATTTTATTAGAACTTTTTTTAATTAATGAAAAATACTAGTATTTTACATTTTTTAAAATGTATTAATTTATAAGAATAATCAAGCTTTACATTTAGTTTTAATTTAAAAAATGGAATCGATAAAATATTTAGGCTTTACATTTTATTTTCATATTATTAATGCTTAACAGATTTTTTATTAAAATATTAAAATACTTGCTTATTTTATTATTTCTTAATAAAATCTAAGTGTTTTTTTTTAGATATTCTACTGTATTTGTGTTATTTTATTACAATTTTAATAATTTTTCATTTCAATTAAATAATCAGATTTTTCTTTGTGTCACAGCTTTCCAGCATGTTTTACTGCTGTGTAGTAACCAGCAGAGTGTGTGATCTTTGACCCCAGACAGCGGCGACATCTACTCGTTCGGCCTGGGTCAGTTCGGCCAGCTTGGCCTTGGGACGTTTGTGTTCGAGTCGCAGCTGCCGCGCCCCGTCCAGCGCTTCCAGGCGGGCCGGCCAACTCGGGTGACCTGCGGGGAGAGCCACACTGCCGTCCTCACAGGTGACCTCCGACCTTCGACCTCTGACCGGGTTGGGCTCCCAAACTCGCTCTAACCCCATAGCTCTCTCCCCAGACACGGGGCTGCTGTACTCGTTTGGTGACGGCCGACACGGGAAGCTGGGCCTGGGCGACCAGAACTTCACCAACCGGTTCCACCCGGCCGTGGTTCCCCGCTTCCTGCCGCTCGCTGTCCAGGCCGTGAGTCGCCGTCGTCAGGCCATTAGACTGCCGTCAGACGACCAGCTCTGACCCATCTGCTCCTTCCTGTCTAGGCTGCGTGCGGAGGCTGCCACATGGTGGTTCTGGCCCAGCCCAGAGGACCCGGCTGCTCCGCCGTCACGCTGGAGGACAGTGCATTCGACTTCCTGGGGGAACCGACCGCCACGCTGCAGCGCAGCCTCTCTGCCCGGGTCCGCCGCAGGGAACGGGTCGGTTTTGGTGCTGGGGGAGGTCCAAACCGCTCCAGAACCAGCGTGGGCTGACGGAATCTCCCCGTGTCCTGCAGGAGCGATCTCCGGAGCAGTTTGGACCCGCGGCCCGCTCGCTCCCCGCCAGAACCTCGGGCGTCCTGCAGACGCCACTTCCTGCCTTGGGCCAACTGGACAAGAACTCATTGGACAAGAATCGCAGGCCGGTTCTGCTGCCTCCGTCTGAACCGGATCAGAACCAGCAGAGCCACAGGCCTGTTCCTAACGGGAGTCAGCACTTTGGCCCAGACGGCGACCATCAGGGTACCGACTTCAGTCAATCAATATATTATCATTACTATCATTTATCAATTTATTAATTGGTTTCATGGAATCTGATTTTCTTTTTAAAAATCATTTCATCCTTTTTAATTTTAGTTTCATGAACCGACTCACAAACTTTTAGTTTATTTAAAAAGACAATTACATTTTTTCACCCGTTTTGTGGTTTATTAAAACATTTCAGTGTTTTAACTGTCTTTGCATTTATTTAGATAAATAAGAAAAAAAAACTAAGGATTTTTCTAAATGTGTTAAACAAAGTCTAAAATAAAATTCATATTAGTATTTATTTATTCTTCAATCAATCGCTTATGTTTTTATTTTTTCTGCTTTCATATTTTTTATAACTGTACATGTTATATTCAGGTATTTAAAAAAAATAAATTCAATGTTTTACCTTTTAAAATTTATTGTCATTCACCTAAAATTTCAATTTTATTTCTGTTTTTTAAATCTCCTGTTTTTCAGTGAAGTATTTCAGCTTTTTTGCATATATTTGAATTAATTTAGAGCCTCTGTGAAGTTATTCGTTTCATTTTTTTCTCTTAACAGTTATAATTTGTAAAAACAAAATTCTAGTGTATCTAAACATTTTAAAATAAGTAATAGTCAATGTTAATATTTTATATATTATATAATTATACAATTAGTACATAATTTTTTTCTATTTTAGTTTTTCATTTTAATTATTTAAGTTAAAACCCTTTTTTATTTCATTTGGCTATAATTTTAAATATCTGGATGTGGATGCACCAATAATCACTGGTTATTTGTATTTTTCTTTTATTAATCCAGGCTTTTCTACAGTAATGTACATTAAATGAGGCTCATTGTGTTGGATGGTGTGCTGCTCCTCAGGGCAGACAGGGGGCGATATGGAGAGCCTGACAGACTGCGACAGTGTGAGAGGACTGGGAGAAACCACTGACTTCTTGAACCTGGTGAGAAATCTCTGGATTCTCCAGATGTGGAGCAACGTCACCTTCATCATCCTCATGTCTGTTTTTACTGCCAGACTCATGTGATGAAGATGGATCCCAGCGACAAAACACTCAGCCTGTCTCCACTGCTGAAGGTAAGCTTGCTGCAGAAAACAAGTTAGCTTCAGAAGGTGAGATAACTACAGTAAGCTAACTGCAGAAGGTAAGTTAGCTGCACACAGTAAGCTAGCTGCCAAAGGTAAGCTAGCTTGACTGGTTTCCATCATCAAGGTTTGCCCCAGTATATTATAAGCCTGGCGGATCACCAGGCTTTACTTGTGCCCCCGCCAGGCTAACCGTTGCTTATTTATTTTTGTCTTTTTAAAAATATTTGCATTTTTTAAGGCTATATAGTTGGTGTTCAGGTATTAATGTTCAATCTTTCAATAACACATAATTATCAAGTGATATTTTCAAATTTCCTGCCAACTTTAAACATTTTTTAACTCAAAAACACGACGGGCCGATGGATAAATGACTGCCCTTGTGCCCAACCGCTGGGCTTAGCAAGTTTTCTGGGAGAAACCTTGATCATGTTAGCCCAGTTTGGTTCTGTTTCCTGCATGCTCTCCTCTAACGTTCGCCTCTTTCCGTCTTCATGCTGTCTGTGCTGGACAGAGGAAGGGTAAGCATGCTCAGCCAATCAGAGAGCAGACTGCTCGACCAATCAGAGAACACTCTGCTCAACCAATCAGAGAGCAGAGAAAGGACAGGAAGTTATTGGCTAGCCGGGCGTTACACACCCAGTTCCAGAAGGGCAGCGACACTCACTCTCTGTCCGCCCAGCACAATCAGAACCAGAGGAGGATCAGTCAGAACCAACAGAACCTCTTGTCATTGGATCATAAGAACAAAGCAGTCAGACAGGCCGGGTCCAAAACCCAGCTGACTGGGACAAAACCAGCTGCGGACTGGGACAAGCATCCAGAACCCAGAAGGAATGCTTCTAAGTCCGGTCCAGCCGGACCAGAGTCCAAAGCTGGTTGGCTGACCATAGAGAGCTGTCAGCCAATCAGTGACGAGAGAAACGCTTCCCACTCCAAACCAAACCCAGATTCATCCAAAAGATCCAAAAACGAGCGAAACAGGAAGGAAGCTGCAGCCCAGAGGAAGTGCTCAGGTGGGAGTACGCTGGCCGGCGCCGCCATCCTGGCAGCAGGGGGCGCTGTTCTGGTCCAGCAGCTGGCCTCCAGGAGGCGGGGCAGTGCTCCAAATCCGGATTCAGGCCCGGAAGAGTTTGAATCTCTGTCTGCTGAGATTAACCGCAAGTCAGCCGTCAGCATCAACGTCATTCTTGCATCAGAGAGTCCACAGCAGGAGGAAGAGGAAGAGGAAGAACAGGAGGAGGAGGAACAGGAGGAGGAGGAACAGGAGGAGGAGAAAAGGTGGAGAACCAGCTCAGAGAAGGAAGAGGAGACTGGATCTGCTTCAACCGGACAAGAGGAGGAGGAGGAGGAGGACACAGACAGTGAGACTCCTCAACCAGGAGATCAGGCTGAGGAAGATGAGAGTACTGCTGAGGAAGAGGAGGAGGAGGAGGAAGAGGAAGAAACCAGTGGAGCCACAGAGAGTGAAAACGAGACAGAAGAAAAAGGAAGCAAAGGAGTAGATATGGAAGAGGAAGAGGAAGAAGAAGGGTCAAGTCAGGAGACTCAGAGCAAAGGAGCAATGAGTGATGAAGAGGAGCATAGCAGTTTAAAAAGTGAGGAAGAGGAGGATGACAGCGACACTTTAAAGTCATCACAGGAAACAGAGGGGAAAGAGGAAGAGGAGGATGACAACGAAACTTTAAAGTCATCACAGGAAACAGAGGGGAGTGAGGAAGAGGAGGAGGATGCAAGAAATAAGAGAGATGGTGAGGATGAGGAGACAGAGGAAGAAAGTGAAGAAGAGGAGGAAGAGGAAGGAGAAGAAGAGGAGGAAGAGGAAGGAGAAGAAGAGGAGGAAGGTGATGAGAAAGAAGAAGAAGAAAGTGAAGAAAATGAGGAAAAACAGGAAGAAAGTGAGGAGGAGGAGAAAAGTGATGGTGATGAAGACGAGAATGAAAGTGAAGAGGAGGATGTCGTGAAGAAGAGGAACGCTTCAGTGAGGAAGCAGCAAAGCAGAAAATCTGCAGCTGGAGGAAGACGAGGAAGAGGAGTTCCCGGATGAAGTTTTACCTGCAATAACATCAATCAATCATAACCTGGTCTCCATGGAAACCTGAGATCTTGCTCCTCCTCTGAAGCTCCTTGGTGTCAGAACCTGTTTCCTCTCAGGTTCAACCCTGAGCTGGGTTTAACAGAGTACTGATAGAGTAGGGGAGAAGAAACGGGCTTTATTTTTAGGGTAAATCCAGGTAGAAGCAGCAGGATTAAAACCAGCAGGATTTTAGTTTTTTAGAACTTTATAGTTACTTGCTAGAAATTACACATTACACACGTTATTTGACCAAACTTGTAAGAATATTTTGTAAATCCTTCAGGATATTTCATAAAATTTTCAGGATATTTTCTAAAACTTTCTGGGTGTGAGTCACCCGTTTTGGTAACAATTCTGAGAAAGTTGAAGACAGCATTATTTCAAGTTTTTATCTCAATGGTTTCCAGTTAAAGAAAATGGGATTATTTTTCATAAACACGTCTGTGGTTTCTGTGTTTTCGATCTTTAAAGTCATATTTCACAGCTTGATGTTTAAGTTGGGATGTAAGTTGTTTTGCTTTTCTTTTCATGTGGTTTGTGACCGAATTTGACTTCCATATGCTCTTATTTTTGTATTGAGTTTTCTGCTTTTTAATAACTTGCTTTGACTTTAGTCGCTGTGCCTTTTGCTTCCGTTTCTCTCATAATATTGTTCTGTTCAGTTCAGCTCAGCTGCTTTGCTCTTTTTATCTTTTATTATTCTCGCTTTGGTTTTCACTTTTCTTGTGTCTGGAGTCGTGATGTCCGACTTTTTGTTCTTCTCTGTTTTGTTTGGAATGTTGGAATGTTTCTGCGTTCTCATGTTTTTAACATGTTTTAATGATTAATAAATCAAAGCTGCAAGCAGGACTGATCAACAGCTCCGTTCATGTTCATGATGATGAAGGCAGGAGAGCTTAGCCTCCGTAGCAACCGGTCAGCATGTTTATGGCGGCTAGTGGTTGCCATGGAAACCGGGTGTGCCTACAGCACCGCTCTGATTGGATCAGGCGTTCAGCTGAGACGGACACAAAGTTTTCTAGAGGCTGAACAAAATCAGGATGTGCGTCACGTCATATTTATACCCCAGGAGGGAAAAAAGAATCGCTTATTAAAAGTTCCTACATCATTAAATAATATAATGTTTTAACAGTATTGGGGATGACTTCTGTTATCATGTTCACTTTGTTTTTGTTTGTAGCTCACAGTAAATTCATTTACTGATAATATTAGTGGTTCTGAACAGTCTTCCTGTGGCGCTCCATGAAGGCTACAAAATAAAACCTTTCAACGTGTAAAAACTTTGGAGTTTTGACTGGAAAAGCAAGTGAGCCAGAACGGCATCCTTCTGGTAAACTAAGGCTAAAAACTATTAGTTCAAGCTCTGATTAAATCCAGGTTTTAGATAAGTTTATGAAAAGTCAGACTTGGATCCAGTTTGTTGTTGTTCTGATGAATAAAAGAGACTCCAGGCTGTCGGATCAACCCAGAAACAAACCAGCTTCACCAGATATTTTCCTGATTCCAGACTTTTCTGTATCGGAAAGCCATTATTAGTGAGTTGAAGCACCACAAGAGAGCGCTGTAGAGCTAATGTTTTCACTGCCAGAGGAGAGGATTCACAATCAGGTTGGGCCACTTTTCTTCCTCCAGCGACCCAGTTTGTGTGCTGGTTACCCCACCTTTACCCCCAGCTGTGTGTTTCCTCTGCTTGTGTAGCTGTAGGTTGAGTTTCCCAATTCCCTCTGCTAGCAGAGCGCTAGCGATTCCCAGCAGCTCTAAAAAAAATAATTAAATGTGTAATTTGTGTTTTATGGGCGTCAGGACGCGGTGGAGACAGCTGAAGAAGAGGAGGACAGAGCTGGTGATGAAGAGCAGACTGGGACATCTTCGTCGGCAGAGAGTCCAGTAAATATAAGACATAAGATTTTTTTTTTTTTTTGTCATTATGTTTCTAGAACATAATGAAATTGAAGTGGTATCCTCAGAAATGGATACAGTTTTAATCAGTCTTTAGGGTGCAGCAAATGGGTGAGTGTCTGCAGGGAGAGGATGGAAGATGGACAGATGGTTGTGCTCTTTATGTATCTGTATCGTTTCCCAGACGGTGGCGGTACAAGCTGTTTGTGTCCTGGATGGGAGGGGTCAGTGGCAGTGCAACTGGCCTTCCTTTGCCGTCTGCCAGTACATATTAGCTCCAGGTTTGGTAACTCACTCCCAACAATCCACTGGGCAGTTTTCACCACTTGGGCCATGTCTTTTGTGACCTGGACCGTTCAGTCGCCACACCACACAGTCGTACTGAGGCAGAGGATGCTCTCAGTCATTTCTCTGTAGAAGTTCTTGAGCAGCTGAGCAGGGAGTCCAGCCCTTTTTAGTTTCCTGAGGAAGAAGAGTCTTTGTTGGGTCGTCCTCATCAGAAAAGAGGTGTGTTCAGCAGCCAGGTCAGGTCCAAAGTAATGTGGATGCCCAGGAACTTGATGCCATCCACATACTCCACCTCCTCCCCTCGAATCGTCATAGGTGTGTGCACTGTCCTCCTGGGCCTCCGGTAGTCCACTATGACCTCCTCGGTCTTGCTGGTGTTGAGCACCAGGTTGTTCAGTGAACACCACTGTGTCTCCTCTCTGTACAGGGTCTCATCATTGTTTATCAGACCCACTACGGTGGTATCATCTGCATGCTTTAGAACCCTGTTTGATGAGTGGATGGCTACACAGGTATGGGTGAACAGAACAAAAAGAACTGGACTAAGCACACAGCCCTGCGGTGTGCCTGTATTGAGGACCAGGGTGGACGAAGTTCTGTCCCCTATTCTCACCACCTCACATCGGTTGGTGAGAAAGTCTCTGATCCAAAGGCACATTGATGTTGAGAGTCCCAGGCTTCACCATCAGCTTCTCTGGGATGATTGTATTGAATGCTGAACTGAAGTATGAACTGAACTGAATATGGTGCTGTGTGTCAGTGTGTGACCAGCGAGCGACTCCGACCTCTAACCCATAGCTTCTCTGGTCCCTGAAGCTGAACGCAGAGCCAGCTTCGCATCCAATCAGCAGCGAGTCTGGAGGAGCCACGCCCCCTGAATGCTCTTCACCAGGAGGAGCCGAGGTCAGAGGTCACAGCCCTGCAGCAGAGCAGTCAGGAAGTGAAGCCAAAGCAGCCAATGGGGAAGCGGACCTCCGCTCCGACGGTCGATCAGGCTCCAGCAGGAAGGTAAGATGGTATGACATCATCACTGTGACCTGCAGAGCGGTGGACAGACTGTCTCTGTCCCTCTCCCCAGCTGGCCGTTTTCAGACGGCTGTCCTCGTCCAGGTCCAGGCAGGTGGACGCGACGCCTTCCGGAGCCTGCAGCCTGCTGTAGGAACCCAAACATCTGGGCTGGGGCAGCGGCGCCACCCGCTGGACAGGAGCAGAACTGCAGCAGAACTACAGCTCAGCTTGGTGACTTCCTGATCAACTCCAGAACCACCAGAGCCTTCCAGAACCCCCAGAACCTTCCAGAACCCCCAGAACCTTCCAGAACCCCCAGAACCAATGTTCTGACAGGTCCACACTCTGACAATGTTCTGTGGAAGGTTCTGATCCGGTTCTGTTGAACCGGACCTGCTGCTCCTCTTTCTGTAGGAAACGTTTCAGCTAATCTCAGGATCATTTCAGCCTCTAATAACTGTTCAGATTAGGATTAAATCTGCTTTCAACTCACCGTTTAAAGGAATATTCCCCCTAAAGCAGAAAAACATCCTGACCAGAATCAAATGTTATAAAGTTCAAAACAAAACAAGAGAAAAGTCCCAAAAACAAATTATAATGAAATGAAATAAAACAGAAAATAATTCCAAATATTGGAGAACATTTATTAAAATAAAAGGAAATGGACAAAAACAAGTGAAGAATAAAATAACACAAGTATGCAAAAATAAGGGGGGGGGAGGGGACAAGAATACAACAAAATAACATGTAATTTTATTATATCCTGTTTATTTATTAGTACAGAGACAGAGAAATGCGTGGTACCAGGTAATCCCTGGACAGCTGGATTAAATCAGGATGATTTAACAGATCATGACTTGGTGCAAAGCCAGTGTAGTTATTAATTACAAATAAAGCCGTTCATTCATTATCTCACTAAAACCAAGCAGACCAAACTACAAAGCAGACTGTTCATTAAAACATTTCCATACTCTCATTAATAATGAATCCATTTATCAGCAACAGTATATTTACCAAATATTAAAACATTTTATAACTGGAACTTATTATCACACAAACTATTCCAGTAACCAGTCGCACAAAAGAGGAAGCATTTTATTAAAAGCAGTCGTACGTTTAGGGATGCTGCACTGACCTCCAGGGGGCGCCTTACCCATTCTAGTTTATCTTACAGGCGGAGCAGCATTGTCATGAAGAATTTTATAAACCTTACAAATGTTTGCATAAAAGATCCGATTTATCATGTTTAGGGAGAGTATGACAGTGACATCGTCTAGATGTCATGAATCTCTAATTCATGATTCAACAGGTTTTAAAACTGTTAGCTTGTCTGCGACCAGTGAGTCATACAAGATAAAGAAACAAATCACATATATGCCTTAGGTTAGCTGAGCTAAATGTTAAAGACTTTCAAAGCTTTTTGATGTGATTTTTAAAAGTTAAAGTTGGACACAGGGTCGTTCTTAAGTTGGTAATAAATTGGTCTTGACCAAGCTTAAAAAATACTAGAAATTCCTGAGAGAATTGGTAAAAGCTGTCCTATTTGAACAAAGTGATTCGTTTTTCTTGTGAAGCCGTTGTTAAAGCACGCTGCGTCAACATCTATCGACCGGATAAAATGTGGAATATTCCTTTAAACCTGGAAATCAGATGGAGCAGCTCTTTCCTTTACTGTTTAACTGAGACGTGTGATGTTTTCCTCTCAGCAGCTGTGTGTGTTATTATTTATTTACCCAATCTTGAAGCACATTTTGCACTTTCTCTGGACCCAGTTTTATATCCTGACATGTTTTAATCTATGTTTTTTTATATATCAGATGTTTTATTGACAGTAAAAAGTTTTGATATGAAGCTGAATGTGTTTGGTTTTACTCCTCAGAACAACATCAGCACTTCCCTGCCTATCTGCTCCGTGATGAGCTGGAATATTTCTGGTGCACGCTTTATGCCAAAAGGTTGCCTGAACCTCCCAATGGGGGTGTTGAATGTTGTCAGGAAAGATGATTCTTCATCTAACTCCATCTGAAGGAAGCCGACTTTACGTCTAATACAGAGAACACTTTTGCATTGGGTATAGTGGACACAACTTTGAGTAAGTTCTCAGCACTGTTTGGAACTTTTTAGCTCCCCCTATTTGGTTCAGCGACTGATAACAGTTTAGACTCAGAGTATTGCATTTTGCATTTGTATCAATACTAGACTGCGCTTTGTGAGACAGGATATAAACGTCCACCAGCCATGCTACAACATAATTCGTTGCAGATGTGTGATTGTCTTATCGCTAAGGAAGGAAGCGAGTCTTTATCGGCCTTTACTCTCGTGTTTCTGTTTACCATCCATTCATGCGTCTGTAGCCAGTGTATTGAACTGAATGTAGAAGGTGGCCTAATTAGTCATACTGATCCACGAACACTTCTGAAGATTAAACTTTGAGGTAGCACTTAGGTTATTTTTAATGCATGAGGGATCACTTTGATGTAAAGCCATCCATCCATTTCCTACACTTGCTTTAACCCTGCTGGTTTTTAGAGGGGCTTGGAAGCAGAGGGCGGCTAATGCCCATCTGGAGGTGTAATTTCTCTAGATCCAGGGTACGCTGCAGCCCATCACAGTACGACACGGAGACAGACAGAAAATGAGCCACTCCCAGCTGAGGACAGTCTGTTGGTAATTAACCCACCATGCCTGATTTTGAAAACATGGGAGAATGTTGTGGTACCTGGTGAGAATCCACACAGAGAGAACAGAAATGTCCAATCTGGGATTCAAACCTAGAACCTTCATGCTGTGAGCCAACAACTGACCCAACTACAGGAAATAAATGCCTTAAAAATGAAATGTAGTTTAAATGAAATAAGTCAAGAAGCAGATTGATAAAAGTAGAGAGGATCTATTAATTGAGTTGGTAGTGAACATGAATAAGAAGCAAATTGTTTCCAGTTGTTTGCTCTTCATGCTAGTGTTTGTGAGGCTAAACAAAACAGCAAAAAAACAAACTTTTTTCCTCTGAATAATTAGAAATATCACAAACTTAGAAACAGAAGCTCTTATGTTTGTGGGACTTTGTTCTTACACCGTTGATTCTGTGTCCTGAACACGGAACTACCTTATTCCAGGCTGGTAGAGCTCGGGGTATTGTTTCAGCTACAAAACATTTTATGGTTTCAGTTAAGTAGAAATATGAGAGGAGTAACAGAAAATAAAGAACAGAGAAGAAAATAATACTTTTAAGAGATTAGCATCTGCACACAAAGAAGACTTTAAATCAAAGAGCAAAACAGAAAATACCTGCTTGTTCTGCAGACAGTTCAGCATATTGCATTGTGTGTAATTTAGTGACTGACCAGGCAACGCGCCTGGTTTTGAGCTCAAATTTATAAACAGGTGACTACAGGTGGTAGAAAAATGCCTTCTAACAATTTCTAATAAATTTAATGCAATTTTAAAAAGAGATTGCTATAGAATATGTAATCTGTTTAAATGGCAAATCTAACTGCTGTGAACACAGTTTTCAACACACTGTGCATTTCTAACCTTTATCCAAGCATTTGATAAGTAATTTTGACAAAAGGTTGTTTTGCTCTCGTTTGCTCTGTTCAAACCTCCAACAACAACAGTCCTGTTTGGTGCCTCAAGAAACGTTTGGAGCAAGTTGTGTTTACTTTCTGATAGAGAAGCTAGAGGTGA